AAGTCACATCATGCCACGGACAATGCTTATGTTTGGAATTGTGTGGATTACTCTGAGAATACTGCTAAACAAGAAACATTGTGCGTCAAATTCAAAACATCTGACCAAGCAAAGAATTTTGAAAATGTGTTTAATGATGCTAAAAAGATAAATGAAAACATCATTAAGAAAAAAGATTTATCAAATGAGCAAAAAGTCAGCAAACCAATTGAAGAAATTAAACAAAGTGAAACAAAACCAAGTGTAACGGATCAACAGCAGCAGAAAAAATCCTCGACGACAAACAAACCAGCATCAGTCATTGGAACAGAACAGAAACATCAATCACGAGAAACTCCAGTATCAAGTCAACACTCAGTACTAATGCCGAATACGACACCGGCGTTTAAGTTCGGGAATGTTGAATTTCCAGTGACAAATGGATTAGGTGGGATCTTTCCTTCAGTGGCTGTTACAAGTGGTGGTTTTCAATTCGGAGCTGCCGGAATAACAGCGATGACTGCATCGGCAACAAAAGTAACAGAACAAGCAAGTAATAACTTTCGTTTTGGTGGATCGCCAGTAACAACAACTGCCAATGGATTTTCTGGTCTACAATTTGGAATGACTAGTAGTCCCACACAATTGTTCAAAACATCCACAAACTACAGTTTGGCTGATTTAAAGAAACAGATGTCAAACAATGATACAACGAGTGGAAGCGATCGAGGTAATTGACTCAATTCTATTTCTGACTGTTCTATGCGGCTTCATCTTTAAAACTGATTGGCACAGCAACTCGTTTGTCACCTTTCAAAGTTGAATTATACTTGAAGATTTTAAAAATGTTTAACAATCTTTGTATCTCAAATCACGAATGCACTCACTCAGTTTATTACAGTTCGTCTGTTTTCTAGTATTTCCTGGACAAGGCATGCCAGTATTTGGTTCAACGCCCAAAAAAAATGACAGTGTTCATGTGCCTGACGAGAATGATGAGGATGTTGATGAATCAGAAAAACCGTATGAGCCATCCGGTTCATTTCAACAGGTGGTACTATCACCTGTTGAGGTTCGAACAGGTACGATAATCATTCGTACGAAGGTAAACCCATGTCATGTGAAAATAATATGCTTTTAGGTGAAGAAGATGAAAGCATTCTATTTTGTGAACGAGCCAAACTATATCGATATGACAATAACTCCCATTCTATGAAA